ATTTTGGTTTTTAGAATAATATGTCACGTTACACCAGGATGCACACTCGCCCCAGGACTTGCAATCAGGACACGCGCGTGTTTTTGCTGATGACATAGCTGCTAGTCAAGTGACCCATGCCGCCTTCCTCGGATGAGCTGACATCCTCCAACGAGATCTCGCCTTCCTCTTTTTCATCATCCAGGATGTCGATCGTCTCCGTGCAGCCGCTCGATAAATCGCTCGCCATCATTCAAACTTACCCAGCAATGAAAAATGCAACTTTCGTGTCCAAGTTATTACTTCTTAACTCCAAATTCGTTTGCGATGCAAGAACACCTTAAGACTTGAAATTAATTACACGAATATATGTTTGAAGACAACTAAAGTTTTCGAGATTAGCTTATCTTTTCAACAGGCGAACTAATTCACAAATATAGAAAGAGAAAATACCTAGGGAAATTTGCGTATTTACCACGTAGTTATCATAAATACTCGCAAATTTTGTGTACATAAAAAGGAAAAAAAGAGGCGAAAGAGGCAAAAACCCGTGTAAAAAAAATTGTTCAATATCTCAAATGTACGCGATGGCAATAAATTTTGTTTCAACGAATTGAGTAGCGTCGAAATACGACTAATTAAGATGCACTATCAGCAGTGAGCAATGACTATGTTGGTTAAATACCTTTAACTCCCTCTTGTCGATCATCCAACTAATCGACGATATTTGGCAGGGTTGCAAGGTACTAGAAGCATCGATACACTAAAGGAGCCTTTTCATACTAACGCTCATTTTTAGCGTCAAATAGATCACGTGATCAAAAGTGTCCATTCAAACTTCACTATTTTGCATCAGCTTTTACGTCGAGCGTCTGTATGAAAAGGCTCCTTAAGGCTGACTTAAGCTATGATTTAATGTAGTATACATATCCATATATTTCTTTCACTCCCATCAGAATAATTGAAAACAGAACGCGAGAAAATCTAGATATCAATAGTTCGCCGCTAACGTCTCCTACATTTTCATGTAGCGTGAAATATCCAGATATTGGATTTGAGATACAGAGTATTGACAGTTAACCAATGTTGCATTTGTAGATCTCGTGAGTACAAAATTTGTGTATTGTAATCGAGAAATATTAATTTTTTTAAGAGATTGAAAAACTAAAAAAGTGATTTATATAATTTTCAGTTTGGTACTTGGAATGGAGAGCAATATAAATTTGTGTGACGAGCATTTAGCGGAAATATACGTAATGCGGCCTTGTAAGTAATAACAGAACAAATTAGACGGCAACGTGTTGTTGCAATGTATGAGATTCTAAAAAAAATGGCAAAAAAAAGGGCGTACAATAAAAAACGATATTGGATAGTCAATACGAGTAATCGTCTTAATCATCTTATAGTCTTAATAGTCTTATTTAATCGTCGTCTATTAATATTTTTTATATTTTTATATACTAACTTCGTTAAATTCTCCGTTAGGCTCCATTTCGAAACCTCGCGCTCACATATCCCATCAACATATCCCATAATGGAAAAATCGAACTATCGGCGATCATAGTCAGATAAGAAGAAATATTGGTGAAGGGGGAAATATCTGGATATGCATATCTATATGAAATCGCAGCTTTGTGCTGACACTTAACGCTCATTTTTTTTTTCAAACTAAATCACGTGATTAAAATTAAACAGAATAGTGAAATCTGAATGTCATTTTTGATCACGTGATCTAGTTTGACGCTAAAAATGAGCGTCGAACGTCAGCATGAAAAGTCAGCCTAAGGGCCATGGCACATAAAAAAACTTGAGCAGTAAGGAAATCACGTTATGGATTTGTTACTGCTTATGTTACTGTCTTGTGTTCTCGATTGTGACTTAGTATAAGATAAAGCTGGCATTAGTATAAGATAAAATGACTTATGGCTTTTGTTTATTTTTAAAAAACAACTAAAGTTTACATTACGCGCATGCAGCAAATAGAATTATTATCTATTATTAGTTTTCAAATTCGAGTACTTATCGCATGCATATGTGGCCATAGAGTATGCGCGTGTGGTCACAAAGCATAATCATATCGCCACACTTCAGTATGACAGATTTCCTAACCTGAATAATCGTCAACTTTAACGATTAATATCTCGGTTTGCGAGGCAGAGCGACGCTTATTTCTCCCGGATTCTTTCATTTCATGCAAAAACGCATCGAATTTTATGGAAATTGGAGCTGAAGCAGCTAAATTGTATAATTACCTAAATTACAATATCTACATTTTATTTCTAAACATCTTAATTAAAAAATAATAATTTTTACATTTTTCTCTTTAGATCTAAGTTATGGTTGAAATTTTGTAATAGATCTATAAATACACCTTTAGAACAACTATATAAAAATTACGGAATTTGCAATGAACATTTCATGTCATCAATGTTCTTAAATAATTTTAAAAATAGGCTTTGATCGCATGCAATTCCAACACTAAATTTTTCAGTAAATGTAGAATCAGAAAGTAAAAATTATCTTTAGCTTTATTTAATTCTGTGCTAAATTTTTATATATAGAGCATTTTACTATATGTGATATAATTTCAATTTGTGATTAATAAATTTACATGCAAAAAATGATATATTAGATTGTCGGAAAAGTTCGTGCTGTTTCTCCGATAGATGGCTTTGGCAATATAAATAATAATGATATGAAGTAAATTGATGACTTCTATATATCATTTGAAAGAGGATACTGTGCTTAACATTTTAAAATATTTTGATTGC